CCTCCAAGGTTTTAGCATGAGTCCAACAATTTGTTAGGGCACGAGATCCATGAAGGCCGTAGTCTGAGTCTGGAAATCTAAGAGGGCACGAGATTGCGATAACCTAAGTCTGGAGACCATACGAGTTAGTATGAGAACTCTCATGGAGACCTATGGCCTGAGTCAATCGACTTGTCCCCTCTGAGACTACTGAGAAGTTCTCATACCTGCTCCTTAGGGCTGAGCTGCATTAGAGCGATACCCGAGCATGACCTTTCGGGAGACTAGACCACTAATCCTTCAATTGTGATTCTCTTTTCTTTTTTATAAAAAATCTTGCTATCTCCTTCTTTTTTATTATAAAAAACACATAATAAATTATGCAATTGTTAGTCGCATCCGAGATTATGTCTAACATCCCGTGAGTACTTTGAGGTAAAGTGAAAGGAATCTTTCTATGTTGGAGGGTCTCGTCTTTCTATGTCTCTGGATTTGGACTCCGATCTATAGAAAATTAACATAAATTTGTATATTTTATGACTCATTAAGAAGTTGATATTTGTTTTGAAGCAAAACGGAGAGTTTGGTATTTAAATGGCCATTTTTCATAATCTCAAAACGACGTTGTTTTGAAACTTAATGGTTACAATAAACGGAGTTAACGTTTTTTTAAAAACTGTTAAAGTTGATTTATTGTATACATAATTGGACCGATTCAACACAAGTTTATGATTTTTATGACTCATTAACAAGTTAGTATTTGTTTTGGCTCAAACCAGATAGTTCGGTATTTAAATGACAGTTTTCCCGATCATAAATCGTTTATTTCCGTTTTTTTTTTTTTAATTGAATTTCCGTATTTACTAAGGCAGCATTACTTACTCCATTTAACAACTAGACTTGCCCTTGATGCACGCACATCCTCCAAAAATCTCTCCTTATATGTATTGCAGAAACTCCATCATCAACAATTCAACATGCACTTCATTTGTGCATATTTGGGAATGAAGAGGCTTCATTCGTCCCTTACCTTATATAGAGAAATGGAGGGAGTACTTTTTTCTCATATTTTAGTTCAATAATTCTACTTATTAAGCTAAAGGTTCCTAGACCAAACTCTTTTATCCGTCCTACCCAATGTGAATTCGATGTAGTAATATATTTAATTAAGGATCACGTTTTTAAATAAATGTTGAAGACTTAAAACGTTAGAAATATTAATATAGTAAATTGATGTGGACTCTTTAGTTGTGAATCTATCTGATTGCGTTTGCAATTCTTATCTTCCTAATGATAAGCAAGTGACATGTCATATTAATCTCTTGATGAAACATAGACAAAAGTAAGAAATTTAATAGTCACGAAAATCATGATGATTTACTTTCCTATTTTTTCAACTATAAACATTTCAGTAATTGATTCATGACGGAAAATGTCAAAAGGCTTAAAATAATTAAAGAGTCAAAAGAGTTTTTTTCTTTTTTGGTTGGTGAAAGAGAAGTGGGGGTAAATGGTAATACAAGACACAAAAGTAGACGAGTACTTGAAGAAAATACCAACGTATGTCTACATACAGATTTCGAGTGACAATCATTTCTTGTAACTCGTGACAGTAGATAAGCGTTACACTTGATCCTCATTTCTTGTAAC